AATAAAAAATAAATACATTAATGCAATCATGTGACAACTCAAAACGTAAATATTTGTTCCCTTTATTTGAAAATTATGTCATCTTAAAATTTTACAAATAGATTCCTTCTAAGAGCTACATGTGTGTGCTGTCTTTCAAGCGATGTCAAAAATCTGAGACAAATTCTTTCATTCATTATGGTTGGGAATCAAACAACATTAAACCTGTACTGGCCCGACTTTCACTAACGTTCTCAAAGTCAAAATCTCAGCTCAAATCTGGGATTTTTCTCAACTCGGAAATTAAGAAAAATGTCAACTAAAAATTTGAGATTTTTCTCAGATATATTGAGACAATGTTTGGCTGTCTCAGATTATGTCTCAGTGAAGCTAAATTATTAAATCTATTATCATGGGTATTTTTACTTTCTGCATGGTTATTTTATAAATAAACATAATTTGACCTTTTTGGCAAATAAAGTTCCTATTTATTTCATATATTAAGTAATGTGTTAACTGATTATTGTGGGTGACATCATGCTCGCTAATTAATGACGTCATGAAATTATGGCGTCTCACTAAACATACTAAATGAGCCGTGTCACGACAAAACCAACATAATGGGTTTGTGACCAGCATGGATCCAGACCAGCCTGCGCATCCGTGCAGTCTGATCATGATCCATGCTGTTTGCTTATCAACTCTATTTCAAGTGGAGAAACTGACAGCGAACAGCATGGATCCTGATCAGACTGCGCGGATGCGCAGGCTGGTCTGGATCCATGCTGGTCGCAAACGCACTATGTTGGTTTTGTCATGACGCGGCTCTAATATAATTTATTGAATTTTTTTTCGTTTTCATTTAAAATACTGTTTGCAAAAAATATGAAGATCTACATTCATTCTTGTTCATTAGCATACAAATATTCACACATTTGATTCATAGTGTTTTTTGTTGTTGTTGTTTTTTTTTTGTTAATAAAACAAGAAAGATATATCTGTGTAACATTTTACATTAAATAGCAACTGTATACTTTGTAACAAAAAAACCTCCATAGATAAGTTTTAGAAGCCCGTCAACAATGCACACTAAGATTGAAGTTTTAAGATAGCCGCTTATGTCTTGAGAAAAAGCAGTCTCAGTTGAGAAAATTCTCAAATTTTGAGAAAAAGTTTAGCGAAAGCCAACTTGAGATTTTTTCTCAGGTGAGTAAGAGTCTCAGTCAGATTGGAGACAATGTTAAGTTGAGATTTATCTCAGTTTGAGAACGTTCGTGAAAGCCGGGCCAGCTCTGCATAATTGTCTGTGTTAAGGGCCATTTAATTCAGTCTGGGTTTAATTAGCATATTTTTACGCTCCCTGAAAAAATTTCGGGGGAGCAAATAGTCGCCGCCTTGTCCGTCCGTCCGTCTTTCCGTCCGTCCGTCCGTCCCCTTTTCTTGTCCGGGACATAACTTTGAAACAACAAGAGGTATCAACATGAAACTTTTTAGGTAGATAGATCTCATTGAGTAGGTGTGCAGTGCACAAGAACCGTAACTCTGCCTTGCCTTATTTTTGAATTATTCCCCTTTGTTAATTTGTACACTTTGAACTTTGTCCGGGACATAAGTCTTAAAGTATAAGAGGTATCAACATGAAACTTTGTAAGTAGATAGATCTCATTGAGTTAGTGTGCAGTGCACAAGAATCGTAACTCTGCCTTGCCTTATTTTGAATTATTCCCCTTTGTTTATTTTACACTTTGAACTTTGTCCGGGACATAACTCTAAAAGTATAAGAGGTATCAACATGAAACTTTGTAGCTAGATAAATCTCATTAAGTAAGTGTGCAGTGCACAAGAACCGTAACTCTGCCTTGCCTAATTTTTGAATTATTCCCCTTTGTTTATTTTACACTTTGAACTTTGTCCAGGACATAACTCTAAAACTATAATAGATATCAACATGAAACTTTGTAGGTAGATAGATCTCATTGAGTAGATGTGCAGTGAACAAGAACCGGAACTCTGCCTTGCCTTATTTTTGAATTATCCCCCTTTGTTTATTTTTACACTTTGAACTTGTCCGGGACATAACTCTAAATGTATAAGAGGTATCAACATGAAACTTTGTAGGTAGATAGATCTCATTGAGTAGGTGTGCAGTGCACAAAAACCATAACTCTGCCTTGCCTTATTTTTGAATTATTCCCCTTTGTTTATTTTTATTTCAAATGTCACAAAGTGACAGGGTGAGCTTTTGTGATCGCTTTTCGTCCGGCGTCCGTCTGTCGTCTGTCCGTCGTCCGTCCGACCGTAAACTTTTGCTTTAGATGACATCTCCTCATAAACCACTAAGCCAATTTCATCCAAACTTCACAGGAATGTTCCTTTGGTGGTCACCTTTAAAAATTGTTCAAAAAATTTAATTCCATGCAGAACTCTGGTTGCCATGGCAACCGAAAGAAAAATCTTTAAATATCTTCTTTTAAACAACCCTAAGAGCTAGGGCTTAGATAATTGACATGAAACATCTTCTATTGAGTGTCTACCAAAATTGTTCAAATAAAGCCCTGGGGTCGAAATTGGCCCCGCCCAAGAGGGGCCATTGTTTTTCCCTATATGCATATTGTAATTTTTTAAGTTTTTACTAAAAAATTAAAAAATCTTCTTTTAAAGAACCCAAAGAGCTAGAGCTAAGATATTTGGCATGAAACATCTTCTAGTGAGTGTCTACCAAGTTTGTTAAGAAAAAAGCCTGGGGTCAAAATTGGCCCCGCCCCAGGGTGTCATTGATTTTCCCTATATGCATATAGTAAAAACTTTAAAAAATCTTCTTTTAAAGAACCCAAAGAGCTAGAGCTAAGATATTTGGCATGAAACATGTTTTAATCAGTGTCTACAAAGTTTGTTCAAATAAAAGCCTCGGGGTAAAAATTGGCCCCGCCCCGGGGGTCATTGAATTTCCTTATATGTGTATAGCAAAAACTTAAAATCTTCTTTGAAAAAACCCACATAGCTAGAGTTTAGATATTTAGCATGAAACATCTTTTAGTAAATATCTACAAAGTTTGTTCAAATAAAAGCCCAGGGGTCAAAACTGGCCCTGCCCCAGGGGTGTCATTGTTTTTATATATATGTGTATAGTGAAAACTTAAAAAAATCTTCTTTTAAAAAACCCAATGAGCTAGAACTTAGATGTTTAGCATGAAACATCTTTTTATAGGTGTCTACAAGTCTGTTTAAATAAACAAATAAAAGCCCGTGGGTTAAAATTGGCCCTGGGGGAGGGGTGGGGGCTATATACAGGTGAGCGACCTCATCTTGGCCCTGCCCTCTTGTTACACTTTGAACTTTGTCCGGGACATAACTCTTAAACTATAAGTGGTATCAACATGAAACTTTGTAGGAAGATAGATCTCATTGAGTAGGTGTGCAGTGCACAAGAACTGTAACTGTGCCTTGCCTAATTTTTGTAGGGATAGGGATCACTTCTCCGTCGTCTGTCTGTCCGTCTGTCTGTCTGTCCGTCCGTCACAAAACTTGTCCGGACTACTTCTCATAAACTACTGGTGCAATTTCATCCAAACTTTACAGGAATGATCAGTACCAAATCTAGTTGTGCATATTGTCAACATTTTCCGGTTCAATGATTTTTGGCAGAGTTATGGCCCTTTAATAATTTCAATTTTAAAGTTTGTCCGGACTACTTCTCTTATACCACTAACGCAATTTCTATGAAACTTTTACAGGATTGATCTGGTAGCTCAAGTCCTTTGCGCATATTGCAAGGGTTTTCCGGTGAATGATTTTTGGCCGAGTTATGGGCCCTTTGATAAAAAGATTCTTTTTTCTGTGTGTTGCCAGATACACAAAAAGCTTGTCAGGACTACTCCTCATTAAACTACAGGTGCAATTTCATCCAAACTTTACAGGAATGATCAGTACCAAGTCTAGTTGTGCATATTGTCAGCATTTTCTGGTTCAATGTTTTTTGTTTGAGTTATGGCCCTTTAATAATTTTTATTTTTAAATTTGTCCGGACTACTTCTCTTATACCACTCATGCAATTTCAATGAAACTTTACAGGATTGATCTGTAGCTCAAGTTCTTGCACATATTGCACGGGTTTTCCGGTTGAATAATTTTTGGCTGAGTTATGGCCCTTTGATTAAAAGGTGTTTTTTTTCTGTGTGTTGCCAGATACGCAAAAGCTTGTCCGGACTACTCCTCATAAACTACTGGTACAATTTTATCCAAACTTTACAGGAATGATCAGTACCAAGTCTAGTTGTGCACTGTCCATCTGTCTGTCCTTCTGTCACAAAATTTGTCCCAACATGAAATTGGCCATCATGAGGCGACACATGTGATTACTGATCGCTCTTGTTTTAATTATCCCCCTTTGTTTTTTTCACACTTTGAACTTTGTCCAGGACACAACTATTAAAGTATAAGAGGTATCAACATGAAACTTTGTAGGTAGATAGATCTCATTAAGTAGGTTTGCAGTGCACAAGAACTGTTACACTGTCTTTCCTACTTTTGGAGTTATTGCCCTTTGTTCATTTTGACACTTTGAACTTTATGCGGGACATTACTCTAAAATTATAAGAGATATCAACATAAAACTTTGTAGATAGATAGATCTCATTGGGTGAAAGTGCAGTGCTTAAGAATTATTACTCTACCTTGCCTTATTTTGAAGTTATTGCCTTTTAGTTTATTTTTCCTTTTTGACTTTTGTCAATGCTTAAATGCTTAAAGAACCTAAACAAAGCCTGGTCTAATTTTGGAGTTATTGCCCTTTGTTCATTTTTGCACTTTGAATTTTACCCGGGACATAACTCTGATATCATCAGGAAACTTTATAGATAGATAGATCTCATTGAATAGAAGTGCAGTGCGAAAAAAACATAACTCCGCCTTGCCTTATTTTGGAGTTTTTGCCCTTTGTTAAATTTTTTATACCTTCCTGTGTCCAGAACCTTCTCGGGGAGCATCACCCGGTTCAACCGGTTCTTGTTATTTAAATTTAGGATTCCCAGTGTTTCTGCAAAAGTATGTCGAGAAGAAGATAGGCGTGGTGGAAATGCAGGGACAAGTGTATTATCTAATGTAAGTAGAAAAATTATTTTTACATTATAACGTTTCCAAATATTATTTTTTATTAAGCTCAGAGTAACTTTTAAAAAGGATTCCAGGTGTGGAGCTTTATCATTGTGTCATTATTCACAATTGATTTACACCGTCTCTTAAACCATATTTTTTATGTTTAAGCACTTAACAGGAATTAACCTTTGATCACTGACTATAAAGCTTCTTAACTGGTCCTATTCTGATACATAAGTAGATCACATGCTCTTAAAATAGACTTAAAATGAAAGATTTTGACCCAATACAAAAGATATAGGGTAAATAATGGATCTGCCCTGATAGTTACTTAATAAACAAATTAAACCTGTATAGGAAATTGCATTTAAATCATTTTTGTGTCGCCTCTACGGAATAGTGGCGACATATAGGGATCACTTCTCTGTCGTCTGTCTGCCAGTCTGTCTGTCTGGCTGGCGAAGCATATTTTTGGAGAGAACAAAAGCATAGCCACATTTATTTAGTAACAGTCGTCTGTCCGTCACAAAACTTGTCCAGACTGCTGCTCAGAAACTACTGGGGAAATTTCATCCAAACTTTACATGAATGGTCAGTACCAAATCCATCATTATTTTCCGGTTAAATGATTTTTGATTTTTGATGGAATGATTTTGGACGAGTTATGGCCCTTGAATAAAAATGTGTTTTATGTGTTGCCAGATACGATACACTTAAGCTTGCCACTACTGGTGCAATTTAATCCTAACTTTACAGAAATGATCAGTACCAAGCCTATTTCTGCATATCATCACATTTTATGGTTCAATGATTTTTGTCAGAGTTCTGACACTTTAATTATTTTTTTGTTTTTAATGTTTGTCCAGATTCCACTTATACCACTCAAACAATTTTAATGAAACTTTAAAGGATTAGGTCATGCACTTGCACATATAACACGCATTTTTTTGCATGAACGAATTTTGGCTGAGTTATGGCCCTTGAATGAAAAGGGTGTTTATAAAGTTTGTTCGGACTACTTTTTTCGGACAACCATTAAAACATCTTTACAGGATTGATTGGCTGATCCAGTACTTCTGCATAATTCACAAGTATTTCGCTTCAATGATTTGTGGCTGAGTTATTGCCCTTGATTAAAAATGGTGTTTTTTGTGATGCTACACAGAAGTTAGTCCTGTCTACTCAGAAAACTACTGGCGCAATTTCATCAATAATTAAGGGAAATGTTCAATACCATGTCTTGTAACATATTTCGGTTCATTGATTTTTGTCAGAGTTTTGGCCCTTGAATGATTTAAATTTTAAAATTTGTCCGGACTACTACTGTTATACCACTAATGCAATTTCATTGAAACTTTAAAGGATTGGTCGGCAGCTCATGTTCTTGTGCATATTACACAGGTTTTTAGATTGAATGATTTTTAGCCGACTATGGCTATCATGAGGCGACTTGTTGATGGAATAGGATATTCTGAAGCTAAGATATTTGGTATGTAGCATTTTCCAGTGGAACTGTACCATGCTCACGGAGTCAAAAAATGACCCTGTCTTGAAGTCACTAATTTAACATAGAATGGATTTAAATTTTTTGTGAAACTACATATCTTTTATCTTAGATGTTAACTTTGTGATGTTTAATAGTAATATCCAAATAGATTATTCAAATCATGCCTCTTGGTCAGAAATCGTCCTGCTTTGGGGGTCAGAGTTTACATAGACTTCCACAGGAACATGTTTTTAAATCTTCTTCTTTGAAACTACGCATTATAGAGCTTGATCTTTTTGGCAGGACAAGCACTGATTAGGTGATGTTGTAGTTGAATCCATGATTATGAGCGTATCTGTGTAAATGAAATAAAGCTATATTAAACCATCCCGTTGAGGGTCTGTTATACAAACAACACTGACAACATTACATATGTTCACAAAATTTATATATAATCACATCACTGCTGAGTTTTTAAAATGGCATAACGAAGGGTCACTTTTGTTACATTGACTTCTTACCTCACATAAGCTGGCTCAGGTAGAGCGTTTAGGACCATTAAATGTCCGTCCTCTGTTGTTCATTGTTCCCCACATTTAGTTATCCCCCGCCGATAAAATCTTGAGGGGGATATTGTTTTGCGTTTTCCGCCCGTCCATTCGTCCGGGCGGACATCAAATGTTCTATGAGCGTCATTCGTCCGTCCTTCCGTCCGTACATCCGTCCTTCCGAATTTCGTTTCCGCGCTAGTTCTTTGCAACTACTGAATGGAATTCAATGAAACTTTATAGGAATCATCAATATCAAGATGCGAGGCGCATATCGTCGGTTTGTTTTACTAAAACTTTTTAACTCAGAGTTATCGCCCTTGATTAGTTATGCAGTATGCATATAGAGCAAAAATTGTTTCCGCGCTACTTCTCTGCAAATACTGGCTGGAATTCAACGAAACTTTATGGGAAGCTTTAATAACAAGAGGGGATGCGCAAATCGTCGGTTAGTTCTGGTCAGACACTTTCACTCAGAGTTATGACCCTTGATTAGTTATGCAGTATGCATATAGAGTAGAAATCGTTTTCGTGCTACTTCTTTGCAACTACTGGCTGGAATTCAACGAATCTTTATGGGAACCTTCAATACTAAGAAGAGATGCGCATATCGTATGCTTGTCTCGGTCAGACACTTTAACTTAGAGTTATGGCCCTTGATAAGTTATGCAGTTTCCATTATAGTGCAAAAATTGTTTCTGCGCTACTTCTCTGCAAATTCAACAAAACTTTACGGGAACCTTCAATACCAAGAGGAGATGTGCATATCGTCGCCTTGTTCCGGTCAGACACTTAACTCAGAGTTATGGTCCTTGATAAGTTAAACAGTATGCATATAGAGCAATAATCGTTTTCATGCTACTTCTTTGCAACTACTGGCTGTAATTCAACGAAACATTATTGGAACTTTCAATACTAAGAGGAGATGCGCATATCGTCGCCTTGTTCCTGTCAGACACTTTAACTCAGAGTTATGGTCCTTGATCAGTTCTGCAGTATGCATATAGCGCAATAATCGTTTCCGTGCTACTTCTCAGCAACTACTGGCTGGAATTCAACGGAACTTTATGAGAACTTTCAATACCAATAAGAGATGCGCATATCGTTGCCGTGTTCCAGTCAAACACTTTAACTCAAAGTAATTGCCCTTGATTAGTTATGCAGTATGCATATAGGGCAAACTTTATTGAACCTTCAATACCAAGAGGTGATGCACATATCGCCTTGTTCCGGTAAGACACTAACTTAGAGTTATGGCCATTGGTTAGTTATGCAGTATGCATATAGAACAATAATTGTGTCAACGTTACTTTATTTTATTATGCTCCCCGAAAAATTTCGGGGGAGCATATAGTCGGCGCCTTGTTCGTCCGTCCGTCTGTCCGTCCGTCCGTCTGTCCGTCCGTTTTCTTGTCCGGAGCATAACTTGAAAACCTTTGGAGATAATTTGTTTTAACTTCATACAGTGGTAGAGGGCATTGAGGGGGAGTGCAGTGTCAAAGAACCGCAACTCTATTTTGCCCGGTTTTTGAATTATCTCCCCTTATAAAAAAATCTTGTCCGGGGCATAACTCTAAAACTATAAGAGATATAAACATGAAACTTTGTAGGTGAATAGATCTCAATGGGTAGATGTGCAGTGCATAAGAACAATAACTCTTTTTGTCCTAATTTTGGAGTTATTGCCCTTTGTTAATTTCAACACTTTGAACTTTGTCCGGAACATAACTCTAAAACTATAAGAGATATCAAGATGAAACAATGTAGGTAGATAGATCTCATTGAGTAGACGTGCAGTGCAAAAGAACCATAACTCTGTTAAGCCTCATTTTTGAATTATCTCCCCTTATAGAAAAATCTTGTCCGGGGCATAACTCTAAAACTATAAGAGATATCAACATGAAACTTTGTAGGTGAATAGATCTCAGTGGGTAGATGTGCAGTGCATAAGAACAATAACTCTTTTTGTCCTAATTTTGGAGTTATTGCCCTTTGTTAATTTCAATACTTTGAACTTTGTCCGGAACATAACTCTAAAACTATAAGAGATATCAAGATGAAACATTGTAGGTAGATAGATCTCATTGAGTAGAAATGCAGTGCAAAAGAACCATAACTCTGTTAAGCCTCATTTTTGAATTATCTCCCCTTATAGAAAAATCTTGTCCGGGGCATAACTCTAAAACTATAAGAGATATAAACATGAAACTTTGAAGGTGAATAGAACTCAATGGGTAGATGTGCAGTTCATAAGAACAATAACTCTTTTTGTCCTAATTTTGGAGTTTTTGCCCTTTGTTAATTTAAACAATGAACTTTGTCCGGAACATAACTGTAAAATTATAAGAGATATCAAGATGAAACATTGTAGGTAGATAGATCTCATTGAGTAGAAGTGCAGTGCAAAAAAAACCATAACTCTGTTAAGCCTCATTTTTGAATTATCTCCCCTTTTAGAAAAATCTTGTACTGGACATAGCTATAAAACTATAAGAGATATCAACATGAAACTTTGTAGGTAGATGTATTTCAATGGGTAGATGTGCAGTGCACGAAAATCATAACTCTGCCTTGCCTAATTCTGGAGTTATTGCCATTTGTTAATTTTTACTTTTTGAAGTTGTCCGGAATATAACTCGGAAACCATAAGAGATATCAACAAGAAACTTTGTAAGTTGAAAGATAACATTGATTAGAAGTGCAGTGCAAAGAACAGTAACTCTGCCTTTCCTAATTTTGGAGTTATTGCACTTTGAACTTTTTCCAGGGACATAACTCTGAAACTACAAGAGGTGTACTTTCCTGTGTCCAAAACCCATTCGGGGAGCATTACCCGGCTCAACCCAGGCTCTTGTTAAACTTTATGGGAAGCATTAATACCAAGATGAGATGTGCATCATGTGTTGCCTTGTTCAGACCAGACCCTTCATTACAGAGTTGTGGCCCTTGATTAGTTATGTAGTATACATATACAGCAATATTGCTTTTTCTTTGCAACTGCTGTATTGATTTCAACAAAACTTTATGGGAACCATAGATACAAAAAGGCAATTTTAATATCTCATTGCCATGTCCAGATATTACTATTCAACACCGCGTTAATTAAGACTGTAAGTGCCCTGAATATTTATTATGTACAAGGAATATAACTCATATTACATCATGATAAATATATAATATATATAATATAGATATATATATATCTTCATTTGTTGTGTTAGTAATAACCAGTACTCGACGGGGGATATAAATTCAACGAATTTGCTTGTTCAATTACAGTCTCGTGGTCATATTTTTGTCTCAGATGTTACCAAACTAGGTAAGATTGTTTGTCCTAGTAATTGCTTTAACAATTTTGAACGTGGTAAAACTAGGTCACACAGCCCAATTATTGAGAAACCTTGTAAGCACTCCACAGGTAACATTTTAAGTGCAAAAAGATTTGAAATCGGTATGAATAATTGTCTTAGCTCGTCTTTATCGCTTAAAAATAGAGATATTGTTACAGTTATGCCGGCGTTCCGATTGTCGTCCTCAAACTTTTTTTATTGATCATTTGCTTCATACTTCGCACCAACAACCCTTGACCTTCATAAATTACATTGAACTTTAAGTCATTTGTCTAGATTTTGCTTAATATTTGCTTATTTTTATGCCTGCACTATGGGTCCTCGGTCCATCCACTTGTGCGTTCTCGTGTCACGGAAAGCTCTAAAGGTGCTTGAGCAGCATGGAGTTGCCATTGACTTGATAATTTTGCAATTTTTAACTTGTTTGTGCGTAGCTTAAAAAGTATTTGACCTAGAGTCAGTAGATTGACAAAAAAGTGTAGTGTGGGGGACATCTGTGTCCTATGGACATTTCTAGTTTTTGAGAAGATATTTATGCATGTTGAGCATGTTGAAGGAAATCGTCTGGTTGACGATGTTTTTCAAGAACATTGTTTGAAATTGAATAGTTCAAATATAATGTTTTGAGTAAACAAATTATATATTTGCCGTAAATTGCATAATTTGTAACAGAAATAATGGTCTATATCATGTTTTTGTCTGTTTTTTCTTCCTGTCTTTCTTCATTTGTTTACAATTCAGTTGAATAATTGAATGGTTATTTACAAATCCGCGGCGTAATTGGTCACTTCAGTTATAGCATTTACATTTCAAAGAAAATCTTGAGTTTTGTTTTTACATAAATTTATCTTTATTTATAACAAAAACTTGTAAAACACAAACATAGATAGTTTGATTTATTAGCCAGAAATATTTACACTTGAGTCAAACTGATAGAAAGGTCAAGACAATTAGGTAGAGATATTCCTACGTCATCGGCGAAAAGAACAGCGGAAAATTACCAATCGTGTTACATTAAAAACGATTTTCTTAATCATATTGTTTTCATTAAAGGACAGCTTTCAAAACATTATTATTGTGTTTATTGTAATCTACGTATGGATTTCTATTTAAAACAAAATAAACATGCCAATTTTTGTCACAGACTTTTTGTGTCGCCTTGAAAAAGGCGACATATAGGGGTTACTTTTGTCGGCGGTGTCGGCGTCGTTGTCGGCCCCCCCTAAAGCTTGTCCGGAGCATAAGTCAGTCATTATAAGTCGGATTGACTTCAAACTTGGTATGCATGCTTCTCATAATGACCCGAAGTGCAGTGCACAAGAACCGGTACTCTGTACTTCTTATTTTTTGAGTTATTGCCCTTTGTTTATTTTCATACTTTATTTTTGTCCGGCCCATTTTTCCTTAAGTATAAAATCTATGGACTTGAAACTTCATAGGATGATAGATCTCATTAAGAAGAAGTGCAGTGCACAAGAACTGGTACTCTGCATTTATTATTTTTTGAGTTATTGCCCTTTGTTAATTTCATACTTTATTTTTGTCCAGGCCATTTCTCATAAATTATAAAAACTTTAGACTTGAAACTTAACAGGATGATAGATTTTATTGGTAAGAAATGCAGTGCACAGAAACTGCTGATCTGCATTCTTATTTGTTGAGTTATTGCCCTTTGTTGATTTTCAAATTTCATTTTTGTCTTTGCCATTTCTCGTTAACTATATTGTTCACAAGGCGACACATCCGACTCGCGGAGTTCTAGTTAAATTCTACTTCTCTAAATTGATAAAAGGCTAGAGCTTAGATATTTGGCTTGAAACATTGTGTACCAGACCTCTACCAAGTTTGTTCAAATTAGTATGCTGGTGTCAAAATAAGCACTGCGCAGGGGCATAGATGTTTATAACAAACATAATCAAAGGAAAATCTTAAGGGAAAATATCCTCTTAAGCCTCAAAGTTAAAGAGCTTCGATATTAATTTGGAGTATTATTTATATACAAGGAACCGGAGCTTACAAAATGTTTTCTGGAAAGGAGGAAGCTAAAGATATTCGAAATAGTACGTTGTTGGGTGGTATTAAATTTGTTTAAATTAAAGTCCTTGGTGCACATCCTTTGATGGACAGCTATGAATTTTGAACCATTTGCACAGTTTGAGATTGAAATGATTCAACTGACCTTGTTTTTGGCTAGTGACCTTTTGTCTCGTCTGTTGATATGTAGCTATGGAATTTGAACCATGTGCACATTTTCAGGTGTAGAAATGAAATTTAAACCAAATGACCGAAATATTGACCAAGTGACCTACCTTCTTGTTTTTATGCCACCGCAATCTGCGATGCGGTGGCATATAGCGATTAACCTGTGTGTGTGTGTGTGTGTGTGTGTGTGTTTGTGTGTGTGTGTGTGTGTGTGTGTGTGTGTGTGTGTTATATAGATTATATAGTGAACTTAAAAAATCTTCTTGTGAAAAACTACTAGTCCAATTTCAACGAAACTTGGCAGGATTGTTCCTTGGGCAAAGGGCTTCCAAAGTTGTTCAAAGAAATTCATTCCATGCAAAAATCTGGTTGCCATGGCAACCAAAAGGAATTATAAGAATAAATTTGAAAAATCTTCTTGTAAAGACCCAAAAGGCCTAGAGCTTAGATATTTTGCATAAGGCATTGTCTGGTAGACCTCTAACAAGATTGTTCAAATTATAGCCCTGGGGTCAAAATTAGCCTCGCCCTGGGGGTCATTGATTTTCACTATGTACATATAGTAAAAACTTTAAATACCTTCTTGTAAGGACCCAAAAGGTCTATAGCTTAGATATTTTGCATAAGGCATTTTCTGGTAGACCTCTAACAAGATTGTTCAAATTATAGCCCTGGGGTCAAAATCGGCCCGGCCCCGGGGACATTGATTTTCGCTATATGTACATATAGTAAAAACTTAAAACACCTTCTTGTAAAGACCCAAAAGGTTAAGAGCTTAGATATTTTGCATAAGGCATTGTCTGGTAGACCTCTACCCAGATTGTTCAAATTATAGCCCTGGGGTCAAAATTGGCCCCGCCCCAGGGGTCATTGGTTTTCCTTTTATGTATATAGTAAAAACTTAAAAAAATTATTCTAGCAATTGACAAATGCTAGAGGTTAGATATCTTGCATGAAACATTGTGTTGTAAACCTCTAGCAAGATTGTTTAAATTATAGCCCTGGGGTCAAAATTGCCCCCGCCCTGGGGGTCATTGATTTCAATATATACATATAGTAAAAAATAAAAAAATCTTATTGTCTGAATGTACAAGGCTTAGAGCTTTAATATTTGTTAAATAATATCATCTAAAGGTACTCTACCAAAGTTGTTCAAATTTTGCCTCTTGTGTCAAAATTAGCCCCGCCCCTGGGAGCCATAGGTTTATCTTATATGTATATAGTTAAAACTTAAAAAATCATCTTCTCTAAATTTACAAAGGATAGAGTTAAGATATTTTGCATAAAACATTGTGTAGTGAACCTCTAGCAAGATTATTCAAATTATAGCCCTGGGGTCAAAATTGGTTCCGCACCGGGGGTCATTGATTTTCATTATGTACATATAGTGAAAAAAAAAAATTTTGTCTGAAGGTTCAAGGCATAGAGCTTTGATATTTGATATATAATATCATCTATAGGTCCTCTACCAAAGTTGTTCAAATGTCAAAAATTGGCACTGTTCGGGGGCAGTGATTCTCATTATGTACACAAATTAAAAACAGAAAATAAAACAAATGTTTTCTGAATGGGAGAAAGCTATAGCTTAGATATTTGACTTGAAATGTTGTTTGGTGGACCTGTATCAAGATTGTTATTAAACCCTTGGGTCAAAATTATGCCTTGCTTAAGGAGACAGTGACCTTCTTTCTTGTCCTTTGATGTACAGCAATGAAATTTTGACCATGTGCACAGTTTTAGTTGTTAAATTGAACTTTGACCTAGATTTTGATGATGTGACCTACTTTCTTGTTCTTTGATACACAGCTATGAAATTTGAACCATGCGGTGGCATAGCATTTTTCTCAAATGCAATCTTGTTTGATGACCTAAATATTGACTTAAGGACCTGAGTTTTTGTTGTTTTAGATTTATTCCTCATGTTCAATCAAAGCGAGTCTGCAATTTTCATGTAATTTTGTTATGATTTATACTTTTAAGGTATCAGCCTAGCCCTTATTTCAGATTTTTTTATTACATTATTTCTATCATATACATGCATTATGGACATTTGATGTAAGTGAATGTTAATGCTTACTTCCTATGGGTATAAATTAGAACATCTTTTCACTTATCTTTTTTCACTATTCAGGTCAGTGATGTGAAAGTTGCACAAAATTCAATAAAGGCAGTGAAAGGTAATTTTGAACAAAGAAAGACTGATTACCCAGGCATGGCGCAAGGAAAATGTGAACAGGTAATACTCTAAAAAGCATAGATTTGAACATACTTTGCAACCAAACTTGAAAACAATCAGTTCCTTTTGTTGATTTAGTCTTAAATCATTTTGGTTGTTTCGTGGTCCTGTATCGAAATTGCTTTAAATTAAAGTCATTGGTGCACAAATGCACGCAGTGACGTACATTCTTATACTTTGACTGATAGCTATGAAACTTGAACCATGTGCAGAGTTTGAGATGTTAAATTGAAATGATTCAACTGACCCAGTTTTTTTGGCAAGTGACCTGTCTTGTCTTTTGATATATATCTATGAAATTTGGACCATGTGCACATTTTAAGATGAAGAACTGAATTGTAAAACAAATAACCTGAATATTGACCCAGTGACCTACTATCTTGCTTTCGATGACTTAAATAATGACCTCAGGACCTGAGTTTTTGTTGTTTAAGATTTATCCCTCATGTACAATCAAAGCTGGTCTGCAATTTTCATGTAATTTTGTTATGATTTATACTTTTGAGGGATCAACCTTATTACAGATTCTTTAACATTATTTTTTATTTAATAAATGCATTATAGGCATTTGATGTAAGTGAATTTTCATGCTAACTTACTAGAATATCTTTAACATAACCTTTCTTGTCATTCAGGTCAGTGATGTGAAAGTTGCACATAATTCCATAAAGGCAGTGAAAGTTGATTTTGAACAAAGAAATACTGATTACCAAGGCATGGTACAAGGAAAAGGTGTAAAGGTAATAATCTAAAAAGCATAGATTTTAGATTTGAACATACCTTGCAAACAAACTTGAAAACAATCAGTTCCTTGTTGTTGATTTGGTCTTTAAACATTGATTGAAAGATGTTTTCCTTTTTAAGCTTGAAATTTTAGATTTTCGTAACAAATATAATTAGAGAAAAATCTTATCTCAAGCTTCAAAAACAAAGAGCTTTGATATTAATGTGGGTTGAAACATTGTGAACCTCTACAAAGATGTTCAAATGTATGACATTATGAACAATATAAGCTCTGGAAAGGAGAAAGTTAGAGCTTAGATAGTCGGCATGAAACGTTGTTTGGTGGTCCTGTATCAAATTTATTTAAATTAAATTCTTTGGTGTCCAAAGGCACACAGGTATGTACAGTCTTGTCCTATGATGGTTAGCTTTGAAATTTGGACCATGTGTTCGATGACCTTAATATTGACCTAAAGACCTACTTTACTGTTCCTTCAGATTCAGCTGTGTTTAAACCATTTGTACAGTTCAAGATAAAGAATAAATTGCTATAATAGTTGACGTATATTTTTACCTAGTGTCCTACTTACAAATTCAGTAAATTTTACTGCATTACCACAAAGTTTCAATTTTTTTTGAAATAATTTGCAAGGAAAAAGTGAACAGGTAATACTCTAAAAGTTAGATTTTAGATTTGAACACACTTTGCAACCAAACTTGAAAACAATCATTCCTTTTTTGTTGATATGGTTTTTAAACATGTATTTGAAGAAATTTCCATTTTAAGCTCAATCTTTTTTCGAAGAAAAAGATTGAGTTATCGTGACTGTCATGACGGTGATCCCGTCGTCTTCCCACAAAAGTAAGCGTTGACCAGAACCTTTTAGGTTTTAGGGGTTTTTGTCTTCATACTTCACCACAACAGCCCAAGTAGATCATTCTTAACTTGACCATAATTGATAAATGACCAAGACATTTAAGGTCAAATGTTTACATTTTGTTGAATTTTGATAATTTTGCTGTCAGCTATAACTTTGTGATGTTTATGCCACTGCAATCTGCAATGCGATAGAATATAGCGATTTACTTATCTTTGTGTGTGTGTGTGCGTGTGCGTGTGCGCGGTGTATGCGTGAGTGCGCGTGTGTGTGAGTGTGCATGTTATAGATTATATTGTGAACTTAAAAAATCTTCTTGTGAAAAACCACTTGTCCAATTTCAATCAAGCTTGACAGGATTGTTCTTTGGGTGAAGGGCTTTCAACGTTGTTAAACGAATTTGATTCCATGCAAAAGTCTGGTTGCCATTGTAACCAAACGGACCATGTGCACAGTTTAAGATGTAAAATTGAATTTTTATATTGGCTGACCTTGATTTTGACAAGTGACCTACTTTTTATCCTTTGATATACAGCTATTATATTTAGAGCATGTCACAGTTTTATATGTAAAATTGAACTTTGATATCCGCTGAGCTAGATTTTGACAAAGTGACAAACTATCTTGTCCTTTGATAAACTGCCATGAAATTAAGGCCATGTGCAAAGTTGAATTTAGCTTACCTTTACTATGGTGAAGTGACCATCTTTTGTTTTTTTATATACTGCTATGACATTTTGACCATGTGCACAAGTTGATATCAAATGACTTAGATAATGACTACTGACTTACTTTCTTGTTTTTTATGTACAGCTTTGAAGTTAACATTGTATATAGTATACTTTAAAATATATATTGTATAAAAGATAAATTTTGCAACGGGAATTATTTGCGATATTTGTGAATTGAAAGTATTCCCAAATATTAAATTGCGAGAAAATTAGTTCCTTTTAGGCAAACTTTCTTCTATCAATTGAAACACGTTTTCATACAGCATCTTACATGAATAAGTTGGACTGTTCAGCACTGAGATTAATTTTTCTCATTTCTGTTTTGTTTAAGTTAAGTAAGAAATCGCAAATGTTTTAATGAAATAATATATGTGTTAAAAACACAATAAGGTTATTCATCTGACAAAAATGTATCAACATATGACAAAGCGTGATCGGGCCCTTTATCAAACTCACAATGTATATTTCAAACAATTATATAAATAATAAAGGTATAATTAACAACTGAATGGAACAATTACAATCACCGCACATTCTAAACAAATACCTGCCGAATTAATTGTATTGCAAAAACGGTTTTAAATTCAAGAACTCTGTCTGTTCTGTCAATCTTATGACTCTAGGTCAAATATTTTTTGAAAACTAAAAATTTTTTACTAAGTTAAGGGCAAGAACTTTACAAATACTGAATAAATCCACAAGCAAACTCCAAGGTGCATAAATACACATGTTGACAAACATTCTTGTAAAATTTCAGGCCTACAAGTGAATTACTGTTTGAGCTATGCATGATCAAGTTGAAAATTGCAAATTTGTACTACTGTAAGTCAAGGTCAATAACTCTAACAAAACTTAAAAAATCCACATGCAAAGTCCCAGGTGCATAGCTTCACAGTGATGTGAATCATTATTCCTGTAATTTAGTGATGTTGATCATTATTCCTGTAAAAATGGTTGATTCTAACTCAAGCACAAGGAACAAATAACAACATAATAACATTACTAAGTCAAGGGAAATAACTCTACAAATACTGGATAAATCCACAAGCGAAACCCCAGGTGCACAACTACATAATTATGCTGAGCAACCTTCCCGTTTAAGGTTTAATGGCTCTTTGTCAAATCTTTTTTGAGTTACATGCGACACAAGTTGAAAATTGCAAAAAAATTCTAAGTCAAGAGCAATAACTCTAAAAATATTAAATAAATCCAAACGGAAATACCCAGGTGCACAACAACACATGCTGATCAACATTCCTGTAAAGTTTCGGGACTCTATGTCAAATCTTTTTTGAGTTACATGCGACAGAAGTTGAAAATTGCAAAATTTTACTCAGTCAAGGGCATTAACTCTATAAATACTATTAAATTCCAGACGAAAATACCCAGGTGCACAACTACACATGCAGATAAACATTCCTGTAAAGTTTCATGACTCTATGTCAAATCTTTTTTGATATTTCTCATCCATGACAGTTCTATTTCATTATTTTTTCTTTCTTTTGTATAATGATATATAACAAATACTTACTTTGTAATTGCTAACCAATTCATCTGTGATACCACCTCTGCGGTTCAATATATGACCAAAAGCAAATTACATATTTTTTGGGTAAAAATAAATTCTTTAAAAACTTTTTTTGTTGTTAAATTGTATTGCCAGATAATTGAAATAAAAACTTGCTTATTTGCAGACTGAAGATGCTGTTTAACCCTTTACCTCATATATACGCGAAACAACGCACTTTCGACACCTCCCTTTTTTTAGGCCTGAAATAGTGAAAAAATGTCCTATTTGGGCCCCAAACACATGTTTTCGTTTGAGAAATGTTGTTGAAAAAGTGAGCATTTTTTCGGCGCCGCCCCCATCCAGAAGATACATCAGCGAGTTGCCAGAAGGGGGATGTTCCCTCTTCTGTTTGAGGGGTTTGAAGGGGGGCTGAGTTCCCCTCATCGCCAAGAAAATTTTGGACTTGTGACAGGCTAAAAATGACCCCAGGTCGATCGTAAGGTAACGTGTAACCAACGCTCAAAAGCCTTTGACTCTATCTCAATCCCTTGAGAAGTTGCAGCACTTTGGAATAAATTTTGATGGAAACAAGAGCTGTCGGTAGGACAGCAACGCTCGACTATTCTTAGTGGTTGATAGTAAAAAAAATGCTTGATACAGTTACCTCCTCCTGTTTACAGTTGGGGTAATGATGGTGAACAAGTGTGCAAAGTTTCAAAGCCATATGTCAATGAAAATATTTAAGGTATTACAAAAACTTTAACATAAATTCTAAGTCGAAAAAGGGGCATAATTCTGTCAAAATGCTTGATAGAGTAACCTCCTGTTTACAGGTTGGGGTCATGATGGTGAACAAGTGTGCAAAGTTTCAAAGCCATATGTCAATGGACTTAGAAAATATTTGAACTATTACAAAAACTTTAACATAAGTGGTTACGCCGACGCAGACGCCGACACTGACGTCGACGCCGACGCTAGGGTGACTTCAATAGCCGTACTTATTCTTATCGAATAGTCGAGCTAAAAATCGAGGCAAAATTGTGATTTTGGCAATATTGAGATGTCCCCTTGTTGGCATGGTAACAGGTAATTTAAGACGGAGCATGTCGTTACAAAGGCAATGGTCCAGTCAACATTTGTGCCAAGTTTGATTAGTATTGAAGCATTTTTCATAGTTTCATAGCAGTTTGAACTTGTAATAGGAGGCTTTTCAGTAAAAACGGCCATTTTTCACAATATGCTCATGAGGGAAAGTGTAAAGTAAAAAAAAAAAATATTACAAAACAACAATTTTTCACCAAAATTAGGTGAAAGACCACATGTTAACATGGAAAAACTAGAATTTGTGTGATTCTAAAGTTTTTCATCATTTTTTGTTAACTAAAAAAATTATAAATGTAACAAAACAACAATTTTTCACCAAAATTAGGTGAAAGACTACATGTTAACATGGAAGAACTATAATTTGGGTGATTGCAAGGTGTATCAACATTTTTTTTAACTCTTTAATTCATATATACGCGAAACAACGCACTTTCGATCCCCCAATTTTTTAAGGCCTGAAATAACGAAAAAAATGTCCTATTTGGGCCCCAAACACATGTTTTCGTTTGAGAAATGTTGTTAAAAAAGTGAGCATTTTTTTGGCGCCGCCCGCCATCCAAAAGATACATCAGGGGGTTGCCAGAAGGGGGTTGTGCCCCCTTCTGTTTGAGGGGGGGGGGGCTGAGTCCCCCTCATCGCCAAAAAATTTTGGACTTGTGACAGGCTAAAAATGACCCCAGGTCGATCATAAGGTAACGTGTAACCACCGCTCAAAAGCCTTTGACTCTATCAAAATCCCTTGAGAAGTTGCAGCACTTTGGAATAAATTTTGATGGAAAAAATCGAGGCAAAAT